TGAGGGCCCTCTCATTCCATCCCGCATTGGCAGCCAGCATCCGGAAGTCCAGCGCGAACTCCTGTGCGCTCCTCCTCCCCTGTCTAAGGTGGAATAGACGCTCACCCGCCGCTTTACCCTCTGGTGGATGATCGAATACTGCCCTGAAGCGGCGGGTGAACTCTGCATAGTTGACAGTAGCGGCGTCTATTCCCCCCCACTCGGCATTGGCCCACTCCAGCGCCTTGCCGGACAGACAGGAGATGAGGGCGGACACGCTCTCGTATCCCGAGGGCACCGGGTGGATGGTTGCTAGGTAGAGTTCAACCTGGAACAGGAAACCCTGACACCCGGCCGTTGTCCCATCATAAGCCCTCAGGAGCGAGAGCCGAATCCCACTGGACCCCGGAGGTGAAGCGCTGGGCATCGCCGATGGTGGTGGTATCGTTGGAGGAGGCGTAGGCAGACCCCCTCTTTCCCATCGCTCCATAGTGCTCACCACCCGTTCCATGGCGGTGCCGAGAGCCTGGATCATGGCCGCTTGGTGTTCGACGCGTTCCTCCATTGATCCAGCTGGCACCGCCGGTGCTGCTGACTCCATGTGTGGTGTGTGATTCTGTCAGGGCGACGTGTATGCTGTGAGCGAAGTCAAGCGCAGGACACCGAGCTACTGGCAGACAAACTTTACTTGCACAGTAATCAAAAATACAAACAAAACCTCCAAACAGGGAGGAACAAAATACGCACACACCCGAACACTGCCGACCTCACGGAAAACAATCACACACAATAACCAATGAGAGACAGGGGGTTATAAAGGGAATACAATGTAACATAATGGGAAACAGGTGAAAACAATCAAGACAAACTAGACAAACACCGAAACATAGATCGGTGGCAGCTAGTACTCCAGGGACGACGAACGCCGAAGCCTGCCTGAGCAAGGACACTCTAGATGCAAACTGTTACAGACCCATATCCATCCTGCCCTGCCTTTCAAAAGTTTTTGAAAGCCAAGTCAACAAACAGATCACCGACCATTTCGAATCCCACCGTACCTTCTCCGCTATGCAATCCGGTTTCCGAGCTGGTCATGGGTGCACTTCAGCCACGCTCAAGGTCCTAAACGATATTATAACCGCGATCGATAATAGACAGTACTGTGCAGCCGTTTTCATTGACCTGGCCAAGGCTTTCGACTCTGTCAACCACCGCATTCTTATTGGCAGACTAAATAGCCTTGGTTTCTCAAATGACTGCCTCGCCTGGTTCACCAACTACTTCTCAGATAGAGTTCAATGTGTCAAATCGGAGGGCCTGTTGTCTGGACCTATGGCAGTCTCTATGGGGGTGCCACAGGGTTCAATTCTTGGGCCGACTCTTTTCTCTGTGTATATCAATGACGTCGCTCTTGCTGCTGGTGACTCTCAGATCCACCTCTACGCAGACGACACCATTTTGTATACATCTGGCCCTTCATTGGACACTGTGTTAACAAACCTCCAAACGAGCTTCAATTCCATACAACAATCCTTCAGTAGCCTCCAACTGCTCTTAAACACTAGTAAAACTAAATGCATGCTCTTCAACCGAACGCTGCTTGCACCCGCCCACCCGACTAGAATCACTACTCTCGACGGGTCTGACCTAGAGTATGTGGACAACTACAAATATCTAGGTGTCTGGTTAGACTGTAAACTCTCCTTCCAGACTCACATTAAGAATCTCCAATCCAAAGTTAAATCTAGAATCGGTTTCCTATTTCGCAACAAAGCCTCCTTCACTCATGCTGCCAAACATGCCCTCGTAAAACTGACTATCCTACCGATCCTTGACTTCGGCGATGTCATTTACAAAATAGCCTCCAACACTCTACTCAGCAAATTGGATGTAGTCTATCACAGTGCCATCCGTTTTGTCTCCAAAGCCCCATATAATACCCACCACTGTGACCTGTACGCTCTTGTTGGCTGGTCCTCACTACATATTCGTCGCCAAACCCACTGGCTCCAGGCCATCTATAAATCACTGCTAGGCAAATCCCCGCCTTATCTTAGCTCATTGGTCACCATAGCAACACCCACCCGTAGTCTGCGCTCCAGCGGGTATATCTCACTGGTCATCCCCAAAGCCAACACCTCCTTTGGCCGCAATTCCTTCCAGTTCTCTGCTGCCAATGACTGGAACAAATTGCAAAAATCTCTGAAGCTGGAGACACTTATCTCCCTCACTAACTTTAAGCATCAGTTGTCAGAGCACCTTACCGATCACTGCACCTGTACACAGCCCATCTGAAATTAGCCCGCCCAACTACCTCATCCCTATATTGTTATTTATTTTGCTCATTTTTACCCCAGTATCTCTATTTGCACATCATCTCTTGCACATCTATCATTCCAGTGTTAATACTAATTGTAATTATTTTGCACTATAGCCTATTTTATTGCCTTACCTCCATAACTTGCTAAATTTGCACACTGTATATTATATGTATTTCTGTTGTATTTTTGACTTTGTTTTGTTTTACCCCATATGTAACTCTGTGTTTTTGTTTTTATCGCACTGCTTTGCTTTATCTTGGCCAGGTCGCAGTTGTAAATGAAAACTTGTTCTCAACTGGTTTACCTGGTTAAATAAAGGTGAAATAAATACATTTAAAAAAGGAGGAGGAGCAGCCTCGGCTGATTCCGTGACAGCTAAAGCCTTATTCTAAAATGGATTAAATTGTTTTTTTCCCCTCATCATTCTACACACAATACCCCATAATGACCAAAAAAATGGAAATATGACATTTACATAAGTATTCAGACCCTTTACTCAGTACTTTACTGAAGCACCTTTGGCATTGATTACAACCTCGAGTCTTCTTGAGTTTGCCGATACAAGCTTGACACAACGGTATTTGGGGAATTTCTCCCATTCTTCTCTGCAGATCCTCTCAAGCTCTGTCAGGTTGGATGGGGAGCGTCGCTGCACAGCTATTTTCAGGTCTCTCCAGAGATGTTCGATCGGGTTTAAGTCCGGACTCTGGCTGGACCCCTCAAGGACATTCAGAGACTTGTTCCGAAGCCATTCCGCGTTGTCTTGGCTGTGTGCTTAGGGTCGTTGTCCTGTTGGAAGGTGAACCTTCGCCCCAGTCTGAGGTCCTGAGGGCTTTGGAGCAGGTTTTCATTAAGGATCTCTCTGTACTCTCCCGAGTGGCGCAGTGGTCTAAGGCACTGCATTGCAGTGCTAGCTGTGCCACTAGAGATCCTAGTTCGAATCCAGGCTCTGTCGTAGCTGGCCGTGACCGGGAGATCCATGGGGTGGCGCACAATTGGCCCAGCGTCGTCCAGGGTAGGGGAGGGAATTGGCAGCAGGGATGTAGCTCAGTTGGTAGAGCATGGTGTTTGCAATGCCAGAGTTGTGGGTTCGATTCCCACAGGGGGCCAGTATGAAAAAAATAAAATAATGTTGTTGTAAATGTACTTTGCTCCGTTCATCTTTCTCTCGATCCTGACTAGTCTCCCAGTCACTGCTGCTGAAAAACATCCCCACAGCATGATGCTGCCACCACCATGCTTCACCGTAGGTATGGTATTGGCTAGGTGATGAGCGGTGCCTGGTTTCCTCCAGATGTTACGCTTGGCATTCAGGCCAAAGGTTTCATCAGACCAGAGAATCTTGTTTCTCATGGTCTGTGAGTCCTTTAGGTGCCTTTTGGCAAACTCCAAGCGGGCTATCATGTGCCTTTTACTGAGGAGTGGCTTCCGTCTGGCTACTCTACCATAAAGGCCTAATTGGTGGAGTGCTGAAGAGATAGCTGTACTTCTGGAAGGTTCTCCCATCTCCACAGAGTAACTCTGAAGCTCTGTCTGAGTGACCATCGGGTTCTTGGTCACCTCCCTGACCAAGGCCCTTCTCCCCCGATTGCACAGTTTGGCCGGGCGGCCAGCTCTAGGAAGAGTCTTGGTGATTCCAAACTTCTTCCATTTATGAATGATGGAGGTTACTGTGTTCTTGGGGACCTTCAATACTGCAGTATTGTTTTGGTACCCTTCCCCAGATCTGTGCCTCGACACAATCCTGTCTCAAAGCTCTACGGACAATTCATTTGACCGCATGGCTTGGTTTTTGTCCTGAAAATAAACATTCAAATCCGATCTTAAATCAGGGAAATGTAGTTGACAGTTTCTGGTTGCGACCATGGTGATTTCCATATGATTTGTTTAGATCTATCAAAAGTATTACACTTTCCAGACCGTGATTTTGCTTATTTCACAGTAGATGGTAAGCATGATACCTCTGCTTCAGGCCACTGTCAACTGTGGGACCTTATATAGACAGGTGTGTGCCTTTCCAAATCATGTCCGATCAATTGAATTGATCATAGGTGGACTCCAATCAATTTGTAGAAACATCTCAATGATGATCAATGGAAACAGGATGCACCTGAGCTCAATTTCGAGTCTCATAGCAAAGGGTCTGAATACTTATGTAAAATCTTCATAAAATTGCAAACATTTCTACAAAACTGTTTTCGCTTTGTCATTATGGGGTATTGTGTGTAGATTGATTAGGAAAAATAATTTAATCAATTTTAGAATAAGGCTGTAATGTAACAAAATGTATGTATGTGCTAGATATGGGAGTGGAGAGGCTACACTAACTCTCACTAGTGAATATTGCTGGATTTGCTGTGGATAGGCTGACTGCAGTCTCCCCTATGTTCAAATAAAATGTTATTAAATTGTTTTTGAATCCTATACCCCTGTGGCTGATGTGGTTTTAAAAAGGACTAACAGCAAGGCAAATATTTGTCACGCTTCCTTGTCAGTACCGGTTTTGGACATGTTTATTTTAACAATTGTATTAATGAACAATCGGTTTGAAATATTTTACAAGAAATGTTCATTCTAAACCCCCTCTTGAACCAACTGTAAAATAATGAATACAACATGGGATTCATAATTAAATTCAAATAGCCAATCCATATAAATGTTACAGACAAAACTGGTGTCGTAGAGTAACGAATATAGGGATCAATACAGTTGGAGATAAAATGGTGTCCAGAATGATAGAAATACCCCCATAATGATACCAAATGTTTTGATGGCTTTTCTCTGTGATTTGCCTACAGAGTTCTGATTGGTTGTACCCTGATTTGAGCGTGCCTTTCTCTGTGCTATAAGGAAAATCTTTAGGTAGATGCTAAGCATCCCTACTCCTGGGATGTAGAATGAGATCACTGAAGACACAGTACTCAATACTTGTGAAACAAAATAACCTCACAGGCAACATATTTATAGGAACACTTCCAATGCCCCAAATATTGCACTCTGCTTCCTGATCTGCATGTCATGCTTTCAGTCACTTGATCCACTCTATGCTCTGCTTTACAGCAAGATCAAATTTCAAATCGGACTCAAACCCGGGTACCTGCTGTTTAGTTCAACATCAGCCATTAGACAAAATGGATGTTGTTGAACTGGGGAGGTAGCCTAGCGATTAGGAGCGTTGGGCTAGTTCCTTAAAGGTCACTGGTTTGAATCCCTGAGCTGAATAGAGGAAACATCTGTTGATGTGCCCTTGAGCAAGGCACTTAACCCTTATTGCTTCTGTAAGTCACTCTGGATAAGATAAATAAATGATGTAAATGTAAACAGTTTAGTTCAATATTAAACCAAATAACTCTTTAGTTCAACACCTGCCATTAGACCAAAGAACTGTTTAGCTCAACCCCAGCCATTAGATCAAAGATGATTGAGTTAAAAGAAAATCCAATGATACATTTTATGTACTTTATGAAAATGTATTCAAAGGTACAATAAAAATACAATTCAAAATACAATAAAAGGTAAATAAAAGAGTTAGAAAGGATTTATAAGTTAAACACAGTTACACCAAAAAGACCTGGCAAGTATTGACAGCAGTAGAATGTGCAGAAGAGGTTTTGTCAAATGCTTCTCTTCATTTGCCTCCTTGAACACATTATTCAATGTGGCCATGTAATTGTGAGGTACATACTGTTCACACACAGTTTTAAATTATATTAATGTAGCTTGACAATATATCATATAGTAGCAAATACATTTATATATGAGGAATTTGTATTGAATATTTTCAATGTGACAATGAGATTAAGACATTTTCTAAACCAAGGATAAAACAGTGCATATATGATTGGATTTGCAGTAGAATTAAAGTAACCCAGCCAGATAAACACTTCAAAGAGAATAGGTGGTGTGCTAAAGTTTGTGTATGGATCAACTATAGAATTAACAAAGAAAGGCAGCCAGCAAAAGATGAAAACACCCACCACAATGCCTAAAGTTTTAGCTGCTTTTCGCTCTGACCGTTGAGACACCACACCTCTACCTCCCTCATTGGAATTATTTTGGCTCTCTTCAATCTTTCGGAGATGTTCTTTTGCCACCAAAAATATTTTGGTATACAAACCCACCATTACAGAGCATGGAAAGAAAAAGGCTATCAATGTGTCTAGGGCGCCCCACAGTGCATTAAAGAAAAGATTACAACTTCCCAGGCAGTACATGGATGCAATGAATTCATTCAGTCCTCTCACATTTGCTTTTGAATATAGTAGGCCATAGGAGTACAATGCAGCAACAGCCCAACTGGCAAAAATCATGAGCCATGCAATTGGTATAGTAATCTTGGTGGAATAGCGAAGTGGATTGCACACAGCCTCATATCGATCTATGGCTATGAATACCAGGTGAAAGATTGAAACAGATGTGAGGAACATATCAAAACTAGAATGCAGCAAACAAAAAGCATCTCCAAAGTACCAGCAGCCCTCCGCAGCCCTCACTGTACTAAAAGGCATCACAGTCACTCCAAGCAGCAGGTCTGCAAGTGCCAAAGACATTATAAGCATGTTAGTTGGCGTGTGGAGCAGTTTTATGTGAGCAATGGAGATTATGACCACACCATTCCCTAGAATAGTGACCAGCATACTTGAAACAAACAAAAAGTATAAAGCAATTTGAGCTCCTTCACTGAAGATTTCTCTGGTGCAGGAGGCATTTGATTCTGGGTAACAGAACATCTTTGGATCAAGATGTTGATGAGATGAGATATCCATTGGCAAAAACAAAACAAAAACACATTCAAGTTAGAGCTAATCACTTGCTACTGTAGTCACAGGTGCATTAGAGCTGATCACTTGCTACTGTAGTCACAGGTGCAGGTGTGTAAGTGGTGCTGAATCAAGCACAGTCTTTTTAGAAGAATGACAGTGTTTATATACTGTATTGGGCATATTTTGGACACACCCCTTTCCCGGCTACCAGCCAGTTATAATAGGTTAAATGATTTACATCTGTTTATATTATATGTGTATATTCAAGTAATGTACAACGCCGGTATGATAGTGTAGTAAGATAATGATGTCATGAGCTCTAAGCTCAAGTGGGCCACTCAACACAGAATTACTGTTCCAGCAATAGACACTAGGAGGAGACAAAGAACACTATTCAACAAGGTGACAGGCACAAGTATCACATTTATTTCAAGCAAACAGCTTTATTTGAAACAGGTTAAAAGCAGCTTCTGTTACATTTTCACTCAAGCTTTATAACTTTGAGTAGCATAACTGTCACATGTTACATCCCATCATAATTCATATATTTATTTGAACACGTCATACAGTAACATCAACTGAAACTTTACTCAGAATACAATCTAAATCTACATGAACCCCTGTGAAAGATGTGACCACTGATGATGATTCTCAAAGCCCTCCTGAACCAAGTGTAAAAGAAAGCATAGACAACAGGGTTAAAAGCAGAGTTCAAATATCCAAACCAAACCAGGGTATCTCCCAACAGCGGTGGGATGGAGTACTGTATGAAAGGGTCAATGATGAGGCACAAGGAAAAGGGACTCCAGCAGGTTAGAAACACTCCCACTACTATTGCCAGAATATTTGCCCCTCGTCTCTCTCTACGTCCAGAGTCTGCCTCTTTAAACTGACGAGATAAATCTTTAATGGACCTGGCCTGAGTCCTGGCAACCCAATATATCTTGGAGTATATACAAATCAAGATCAGGCCTGGGATGTAAAAACTGAAGGACGATGCTACTACAGCCGCCACTGGACTAAAGAACACATAACAGCCTCCAATGCACTTGACATGTGTTTCATAGAAATCCTCCCTGCCTTTTAGATTCATCTCAGAGAAGATCATTCCATAAGCAAAAATGGCAGGGACCAGCCAACTGGTGGCGATCATGATCAATACAGTGTTATTGCTGATGATCAGTCTGTACGACAGTGGCCTGCAGACAGCAAAGTAACGGTCAATGGAGATGAAGGATAGATGGAAGATGGAGGATGTGCTCAGCATAATATCAGTGCTGGTGTGGAGCTTACACAGAAACCCTCCTAGGTACCAACAGCCCTGGACAGAGCGCACAGCACTGCACGGCATTACAAACAGTCCCAGAAGGAGGTAACACACAGCCAGGGAGAGGAGGAGTTGGTTTACGGAGGTTTGGAGCTGCTTGAAGTGTGCAATGGAGGTGATGACCAGAAGGTTCCCAATAACAGTCACCAGTATGGCCAACCCCATCGATGTGAACATAGGAACCTGAGTGCTCAGGGGTCGAGCAAACCTCACACACGATCCACTCAAAGACTCGTAGCAGAAAAGAGTCTGTGTTTTCACAGTGCTGTTAAGGTTTGAAGTATTTGAGAAGTCCATTCCACCTGGTGTTTTAGGCCTAGAGACAAGGAACAATTTGATCACAGCTTTAAATGTGTAATTACAACATTTTTCATATTTTCATCTGTCATCTACATCTTTGTTTGCTAAAATTAACTGGACTTACGTTCAATTAACGTTTTGCAACAGTAGCGTTACTGTAACAGACGGAACAATGAACTGCTAGTCCAAAGCGTTGTTCTGAATCAGATTAATGGGCTTCTGAAAATAGAACACATCCTGCTGATAATGCTTCCCATCGGAATCCAGTTTATTTCCAAAAATAACACAAATGATGGAAATGTGGCCACTTGAGGGAAATGTGGCTCTTGTAACAAATTCCCATATAAATAATAAGCCATGCTGTCTTCATGAAATAGTTACACATTTAATAAACACCATTTTATTAAACTTTTATACTATATATTCATAGTATGTAGTTTCTTATTCTTGTTCCTTTGAAAATACAAATATGTAGTATGAATAAAACTGAAACCTATACTCACCTTAATATCTAAAATGATTATTTCTCAGCAATCAATACCTCAACCTGTATTTGTCCATGGGAAGCACTAAGAACAAATGGTGTTTGATTTTGATCTCTGGTCAGGATCCTTTCAGCAGAGGGAAACAAAGAGACAAGTAAACACTCTATAGTCATGTTGACTTGTTGAACAATTGGTTATACAATTATGGTGTGTAATATAGATCATGCATACGAAAAGTTTAATCTCACCTAATCATAGTCAGCAAACCATGCACCCCCTCGATCAGTCTGAAGCTCTTCGAAAGCTTCTGTGCATTATATAAACAGAAGGACGCTGTTAAAGGGACGCTCCAAAAATGATCACCACAACATTTTGGAACTGTTTACTATTCTGTCTGCTCCACAGCCAATGAAATCATGGTTTTAGTCTGTGGAGACTCCTACTGTATGTTGTTCACTGTGTCTGATGAGTCCACATGATTCAGTTGGCAACAGGTATTCAACAATTATGGGCCCAGTTGTAATAAACAATTACCGTTGTAATAATGCAGGATTGTATGTCATAATCTAAGATGGCAATCAAGCATAAGCAAAGATCACACATCTAATTCTTCAAGAATGAATGGGTATACTTTATACTGCATGACCATGACCAAATGACAATTGAACAACAGGACATCTTACAGATTTAGCCTTTAATGAGTGGCTTGGAATGCAAGATAAATTGTACATCACTTTTGAGAATTGTGTGAAACACGTCAAATGTCTCGATTAAAATAATTTACATAATTTTGCCTTGTGCTGAAAATAAAACGACAACAGAGGTAGTAGGCTGTGACCTCTATGACCTGTGCTTTGAGGTGCCCATGGCAACCACTTTATGCCACGGCCATCAGATGAGTCTTCTATCATAGTAATGATTCTGGGAAATAGGAGGACAAATGAACCTACCAGAGGGCCCTGTTAGCACCTATAATCTGACTTCACCTTTAATGATGATCCCATTCCCACAGGTGTCTTGCCACTCAGAAGGTGTTGATAAACAATGGGGGTGATGTCATGTTTGGCAGTTTGTACTAATTTTGATTAGGCTCTGCTCATGGAACTTTAAAGAGGCAATGTCGGATTTGAAAAAACAACAAAGCTGACCCTCTGCCACTAGGGCTGTAGAAATGTAACCACTCTTCAATTCATTGAATGAGCTATGAATGCAAGGACGACCATCAATGAGATTAATATGATAGTTTGAAATTAAATTGAGCAGAACCCCTAATCCTAGCTTCATGTCCAGCCTAACCCTAACCATAACCCTAACCGTAGTTAGCATTGGCTCGTGAAACTACATCTAACTTCCTTCATACTAGACACAGAGACATAAAAATGGTATCCACAAGTTAATCTGGCTCTGGGGAAGTAGTTAAAGGGCCTCATTGCCAACATCCCAAAGTATCCATTTAACCTTCTTCATTGGACTATATGATATGAGCACAGATTTTACTTCAACAAATATAAGATTTTCCAGATGGATAACTGTGCATGTGCTTGCAGTAAATGTAACTATATTTTAATATAGTGTATTATACATGATATACTGAAGCAACATAAATTATGTTGTCTATAAATGACATGGTAAAAACGTGTGCATTAAGGTGATATTCATACCATTACAGATTTATGGACATCGTGATACCATATACATGATGTAATGCATTATAGATGACGCCAAAGGAAATACTGTACCATGTTTGACTATTGACTGCTTTGTATTTGTATTTGTATTTATTATGGATCCCCATTAACTGCTTCCAAGGCAGCAGCTACTCTTCCTGGGGTCCAGCAAAATTAAGGCTATTATACATTTAAAAAACAATACATTCATAACAGATTTCACAACATATTAAGTGTGTGCCCTCAGGCCTCTACTCTACTACCACATATCTATAACACAAAATCCATGTGTACATGTGTGTATAATGCGTATGTTATCGTGTGTTTGTATGCATGTGTCTATGTTTGTGTTGCTTCACAGTACCCGCTGTTCCACAAGGTGTATTTGTATCTGTTTTTTTCTAATCTAATTTTATTTCTGGCATGAGTTACTTGATGTGGAATAGAGTTCCATGTAGTCATGGCTCTATGTAGTACTGTGCGCCTCCCATAGTCTGTTTTGGACTTGGGGACTGTGAAGAGACCTCTGGTGGCATGTCTTGTGGGGTATGCTTGGGTGCATTTAACATGTCAATACCTCTCACAAATACAAGTAGTGATGAAGTCAATCTCTCCTCCACTTTGAGCCAGGAGAGATTGACATGCATATTATTAATGTTAGCTCTCTGTGTACATCCAAGTGCCAGCCGTGCTGCCCTGTTCTGAGCCAATTGCAAGTCCAGGTGCGACAAAACTAGGGCCTGTAGGACCTGCCTTGTTGATAGTGCTGTTAAGAATGCAGAGCAGTGCTTTATTATAGACAGACCTCTCCCCATCCTAGCTACTGTTGTATCATTATGTTTTGACCATGACAGTTTACAACACAGGGTTACTCCAAAAAAAATGCTTTTAGTTTTTGAAATATTTAGGACTAACTTATTCCTTGCCACCCATTCTGAAACTAACTGTAGCTCTTTGTTAAGTGTTGTCATTTCAGTCACTGTGGTAGCTGACATTGTCACAAGTGTAGAGAGGAGTAAGCAGGAGGCAGTCGGAGGTTTAGAACTACACAATTTATTAAAGCACCATAGCTTAAAGCGGGACGAAACCCACAGTGCAAAATATAAAGTACTCAGGAAATAGTAGGGGAGATTCCTCTCAGGAAAACAATCAACACATACAGTGCCTTGCAAAAGTATTCACCCCCCTTGGCATTTTTCCTATTTTGTTGCATTACAACCTGTAATTTAAATAGATTTTTATTTGGATTTCATGTAATGGACATACACAAAATAGTCCAAATTGGTGAAGTGGAATGAAAAAAAATAACTTGTTTCAAAAAATTCAAAAAAATAACGAACGGAAAATTGGTGCGTGCATATGTATTCACCCCCTTTGCTATGAAGCCCCTAAATAAGATCTGGAGCAACCAACTACCTTCAGAAGTCACATAATTAGTTAAATAAAGTCCACCTGTGTGCAATCTAAGTGTCACATGATCTGTCACATGATCTCAGTAAATACACACCTGTTCTGAAAGGCCCCAGAGTCTGCAACACCAACACCAAAGAGCTCTCCAAACAGGTCAGGGACAAGTACAGATCAGGGTTGGGTTATGAAAAAATATCCAAAACTTTTAACATCCCTCGGAGCACCATTAAATCCATTATTAAAAAATGGAAAGAATATGGCACCATAACAAACCTGCCAAGAGAGGGCCGCCCACCAAAACTCACGGACCAGGCAAGGAGGGCATTAATCAGAGAGGCAACAAAGAGACCAAAGATAACCCTGAAGAAGCTGCAAAGCTCCACAGCGGAGATTGGAGTATCTGTCAATAGGACCCCTTTAAGCCGTACACTCCACAGAGCTGGGCTTTACGGAAGAGTGGCCAGAAAAAAGCCATTGCTTAAAGAAAGAAATAAGCAAACACGTTTTTTGTTCGCCAAAAGGCATGTGGGAGACTCCCCAAACATATGGAAGAAGGTACTCTGATGAGACTAAAATTGAGCTTTTTGGCCATCAAGGAAAACGCTATGTCTGGCGCAAACCCAACACCTCTCAAACCCCCTGAGAACACCATGTTTTTCATCGGCAGGGACTGGGAAACTGGTCAGAATTGAAGGAATGATGGATGGGAAACCTGTTTCAGTCTTCCAGAGATTTGAGACTGGGACGGAGGTTCACCTTCCAGCAGGACAATGACCCTAAGCATACTGCTAAAGCAACACTTCAGTGGTTTAAGGGGAAACATTTAAATGTCTTGGAATGGCCTAGTCAAAGCCCAGACCTCAATCAAATTGAGAATCTGTGGTATGACTTAAAGATTGCTGTACACCAGCGGAGCCCATCCAACTTGAAGGAGCTGGTGCAGTTTTGCCTTGAAGAATGGGCAAAAATCCCAGTGGCTTGATGTGCCAAGCTTATAGAGACATACCCCAAGAGACTTGCAGCTGTAATTGCTGCAAAAGGTGTCTCTACAAAGTATTGACTTTAGGGGGGTGAATTGTTATGCACGCACAAGTTTTCTGTTTTTTCTTTGTCTTATTTCTTGTTTGTTTCACAAGAAAAATATTTTGCATCTTCAAAGTGGTAGGCATGTTGTGTAAATCAAATGATACGAACCCCAAAAAACCCATTTTAATTTCAGGTTGTAAGGCAACAAAATAGGCTTTCGCAAGCCATTGTACAATGACCGACAAAGACAAATGACAGAGGGAGTATATATACAGTGATAGAGTGGGGTTTGGAACCAGGTGTGTGTATTGATGACGAGACAAGTCCAGGGTTGATGAGTGAAGGGCGTTTGCCAGCAGCTGTGATGAGGTGGTGTTGAAGAAGTCAGGCGCAGGAGGGTAAATCACAG